TAGGTACTTGTCTTCATTATCAGAGGACGGGGTGTTCTTCATACTCAGATTGAGGATACCTTGTGTGGCCAGGTCTTCTGGTGGGATTGCGTATACCTCAGATTACGTTTAGATGTGTTTTTACGATGTATTACTGAATGGATTCATATAAAAACTGCCCGTTGTGTATTTATACAATATTTTTAATATGGTGTCATTGATATCAACCCATTGAAGCCTCAAAAACAGTAATATTTTTTGATTTTTGAAGATCTCACAACTGTGCAAAGATTTGATGGCGTTTCATTGGGGAGCCAGGAAGAGAGAGAACCACCAACCCCCCCCCATAACATATTCCATGAAGATGGCGGCCCAGGATGGCACCTTGTGTACAAGAACGGGGTGCAAGAAAAGGACAATCCTGGACCCACGGGGCTTTGAGGGATATAATTACAGAACACCAAAGGTAAGTGGGGAAGAGGAACACCATTTCATTGGGAGGGTTACGTTCCTCCTTGCATTGCCCATGTATTGTCATCGTGTCTGGTGCTAATAGAAGCTCCCGAGTTCATAGAAGACATCATCTCCTGTAGGATGTCTGCAGTCTCTGACCGTCTCCTGTACTGTGTCCGCAGTCTCTGATCATCTCCTGTACTGTGTCCGCAGTCTCTGATCATCTCCTGTAGTATGTCCGCAGTCTCTGTCCATCTCCTGTAGTATGTCCGCAGTCTCTGTCCATCTCCTGTAGTATGTCCGCAGTCTCTGACCATCTCCTGTAGTATGTCCGCAGTCTCTGTCCATCTCCTGTAGTATGTCTGCAGTCTCTGACCAGCTCCTGTAGTATGTCTGCAGTCTCTGACCAGCTCCTGTAGTATGTCTGCAGTCTCTGACCATCTCCTGTAGTATGTCTGTAGTCTCTGACCATCTCCTGTAGTATGTCTGTAGTCTCTGACCATCTCCTGTAGTATGTCTGCAGTCTATGACCATCTCCTGTAGGATGTCTGCAGTCTCTGACCATCTCTTGTAGGATGTCTGCAGTCTCTGACCATCTTCTCTAGTATGTTTGTAGTCTCTGACCATCTCCTGTACTGTGTCCGCAGTCTCTGGTCATCTCCTGTAGTATTTCTGTAATCTCTGACCATCTCCTGTAGGATGTCTGCAGTCTCTGACCATCTGCTGTAGGATGTCTGCAGTCTCTGACCATCTCCTGTAGTATGTCCGCAGTCTCTGACCATCTCCTGTAGTATGTCCGCAGTCTCTGTCCAGCTCCTGTAGTATGTCCGCAGTCTCTGTCCATCTCCTGTAGTATGTCTGCAGTCTCTGTCCATCTCCTGTAGTATGTCTGCAGTCTCTGACCAGCTCCTGTAGTATGTCTGCAGTCTCTGACCAGCTCCTGTAGTATGTCTGCAGTCTCTGACCAGCTCCTGTAGTATGTCTGCAGTCTCTGACCAGCTCCTGTAGTATGTCTGCAGTCTCTGACCAGCTCCTGTAGTATGTCTGCAGTCTTGACCAGCTCCTGTAGTATGTCTGCAGTCTCTGACCATCTCTTGTAGGATGGCTGCAGTCTCTGTCCATCTCCTGTAGTATGTCCGCAGTCTCTGTCCATCTCCTGTAGTATGTCCGCAGTCTCTGACCATCTCCTGTACTATGTCCGCAGTCTCTGTCCAGCTCCTGTAGTATGTCTGCAGTCTCTGTCCAGCTCCTGTAGTATGTCTGCAGTCTCTGACCAGCTCCTGTAGTATGTCTGCAGTCTCTGACCAGCTCCTGTAGTATGTCTGCAGTCTCTGACCATCTCTTGTAGGATGGCTGCAGTCTCTGACCAGCTCCTGTAGGATGGCTGCAGTCTCTGATCATCTCTTGTAGGATGTCTGCAGTCTCTGACCAGCTCCTGTAGGATGGCTGCAGTCTCTGACCAGCTCCTGTAGTATGTCCTGCAGTCTCTGACCATCTCTTGTAGGATGGATGGCTGCAGTCTCTGACCATCTCTTGTAGCATGGCTGCAGTCTCTGACCAGCTCCTGTAGTATGTCTGCAGTCTCTGACCATCTCCTGTAGTATGTCTGTAGTCTCTGACCACTCCTGTAGTATGTCTGTAGTCTCTGACCATCTCCTGTAGTATGTCTGCAGTCTATGACCATCTCCTGTAGGATGTCTGCAGTCTCTGACCATCTCTTGTAGGATGTCTGCAGTCTCTGACCATCTTCTGTAGTATGTTTGTAGTCTCTGACCATCTCCTGTACTGTGTCCGCAGTCTCTGGTCATCTCCTGTAGTATTTCTGTAATCTCTGACCATCTCCTGTAGGATGTCTGCAGTCTCTGACCATCTGCTGTAGGATGTCTGCAGTCTCTGACCATCTCCTGTAGTATGTCCGCAGTCTCTGACCATCTCCTGTAGTATGTCCGCAGTCTCTGTCCAGCTCCTGTAGTATGTCCGCAGTCTCTGTCCATCTCCTGTAGTATGTCTGCAGTCTCTGTCCATCTCCTGTAGTATGTCTGCAGTCTCTGACCAGCTCCTGTAGTATGTCTGCAGTCTCTGACCAGCTCCTGTAGTATGTCTGCAGTCTCTGACCAGCTCCTGTAGTATGTCTGCAGTCTCTGACCAGCTCCTGTAGTATGTCTGCAGTCTCTGACCAGCTCCTGTAGTATGTCTGCAGTCTCTGACCATCTCTTGTAGGATGGCTGCAGTCTCTGTCCATCTTCTGTAGTATGTCCGCAGTCTCTGTCCATCTCCTGTAGTATGTCCGCAGTCTCTGACCATCTCCTGTACTATGTCCGCAGTCTCTGTCCAGCTCCTGTAGTATGTCCGCAGTCTCTGTCCAGCTCCTGTACTATGTCCGCAGTCTCTGTCCAGCTCCTGTAGTATGTCCGCAGTCTCTGTCCAGCTCCTGTAGTATGTCTGCAGTCTCTGACCAGCTCCTGTAGTATGTCTGCAGTCTCTGACCAGCTCCTGTAGTATGTCTGCAGTCTCTGACCATCTCTTGTAGGATGGCTGCAGTCTCTGACCAGCTCCTGTAGGATGGCTGCAGTCTCTGATCATCTCTTGTAGGATGTCTGCAGTCTCTGACCAGCTCCTGTAGGATGGCTGCAGTCTCTGACCAGCTCCTGTAGTATGTCTGCAGTCTCTGACCATCTCTTGTAGGATGGCTGCAGTCTCTGACCAGCTCTGTAGGATGTCTGCAGTCTCTGACCATCTCCTGTACTATGTCCGCAGTCTCTGACCATGTCTCCTGTACCATGTCTGAGGTATGTCTGCGGCCCAGGATGGCACCTTGTGTACAAGACTGGGGTGCAAGAAAAGGACAATCCTGGACCCACGGGGCTTTGAGGTATATAATCACAGAACACCAAAGGTAAGTGGGGAAGAGGAACACCATTTCATTGGGAGGGTTACGTTCTCCTTGCATTGCCCATGTATTGTCATCGTGTCTGGTGCTAATAGAAGCTCCCGAGGTCATAGAAGACACCAGCTTTTGGGGCTTGGCTTGGATAAGTTAGTCGTTGGGTTTCCCTGTCCAACAATCCTGTACTAGGTGCAATCTGCGGTATAGCAAACTGGTCATGGTCATTGCATGCCAGGCAGACAAAAATTTCCAGTTGGACAAATACCCAAGATATCGAAGAAGGAACATCAGCCCTGTAAGTCCACTGGCAGTAGGTCACTCGATGGTCAGGGGGTGTCAAACTGGTGGCCCTCCAGCTGTTGCGAAACTACAAGTCCCATCATGCCACAACCTTTGGGAGTCACGCTTGTAACTGTCAATCTTGCAATGCCTCATGGGACTTGTAGTTTGGAGGGCCGCCAGTTTGACACCCGTGGTTTAGATGGAACACCATTCAAATATCTGAGTGATGGTACTCCAGGGGATTTCCGGCTTTGGTGCGCCACCTGTATGCATCCAACAGTTCTAGGCGTGGAGCTGCCGCCGCCCATGGGCAACCGTTCCTTTGTGGATATTTATTATGATATCTGTGAGGTGGCCTTGTGTATGTACAATGTATATCCTTTGACTAACAGACTGTTGTCAATGGCCAGGGACTTGCCGCCAATGCCTGAGGCAACACACTTGGTGGGGGGCAGTACTAAGGCTGGAGTGTCCATACCGGATACTCAGCCCTCACTGCAGCTCAGTATACACAGGGCAGCGTTACTAAACAGGTTGCTAGGATGCTGGTGACCAGGTTGCTAGGCTGCACAACGTCATTGCAAGCTTCTCTTTAGTGGATTTTGATAAAAGGACATATACACACCGTTCTCATGAGACGTTACAGATAAATCCTCTAAATAGGGAAGACATTTTGAATAGAATAATAATGGGCAGCACAGTGGCTAGAAGGTCTGTTCCAGTAGTAGTCAAAGGGACAATGCAAAGAGTAGCCAACGCATTTCGGGTCCAAAACCCCCCTTCATCAGGGATCAGAAAACAATATAAATGGACTAGTAGTAACCTGCCAAACCAACAGATGAGACCTGAGCTTGTAATCACAATAAGAAATCCCATTAAAGGTCCAGTTCACTTCTAGTCCTTTTATATTAGCCATTCCTAACCAGTGCTCTGTGGAACTTCAGGGTTCCTGCAGAGGTTGCTTAGGGTTCCTTGAGTAGTGGCTGACTAACCTCACATCTGATGGTATATACATAGTTCCAGGGCCAACGCCACATGGCAGAGCCAGGGACATAATGCCAATGGTCATTTTATCTGTGTGTAACAGTGGTATTCTGATCACCAATGTAAGGGACACACTCTTCCCACTGACCTCCAATGTAAGGGACATTCTTCCCACTGACCCCCAATGTAAGGGACATTCTTCCCACTGATCACCACCAATGTAAGGGACATTCTTCCCACTGATCACCAATGTAAGGGACATTCTTCCTGCCACTGACCCCCAATGTAAGGGACATTCTTCCCACTGACCCATTCCAATGTAAGGTAAGGGCATTCTTCCCACTGACCCCCAATGTAAGGGGCATTCTTCCCACTGACCACCAATGTAAGGGACATTCTTCCACTGACCCCCAATGTAAGGGACATTCTTCCCACTGACCCCCAATGTAAGGGACATTCTTCCCACTGACCACCAATGTAAGGGACATTCTTCCCACTGACCCCCAATGTAAGGGGCATTCTTCCCACTGACCCCCAATGTAAGGGGCATTCTTCCCACTGACCCCCAATGTAAGGGGCATTCTTCCCACTGACCCCCAATGTAAGGGACATTCTTCCCACTGATCACCAATGTAAGGGGACATTCTTCCCACTGACCCCCAATGTAAGGGACATTCTTCCCACTGACCCCCAATGTAAGGGGCATTCTTCCCACTGACCCCCAATGTAAGGACATTCTTCCCCCTGATCCCAATGTAAGGGACATTTCTTCCCGCTGACCCCAATGTAAGGAACATTCTTCCCGCTGACCACCAATTTAAGGGACATTCTTCCCACTGACCCCCAATGTAAGGGACATTCTTCCCCACTGACCCCAATGTAAGGGACATTCTGAACCCCAATGTAAGGGACATTCTTCCCACCACCAATGTAAGGGACATTCTTCCCACTGACCCCCAATGTAAGGGACATTCTTCCCGCTGACCCCCAATGTAAGGGACATTCTTCCCACTGACCCCCAATGTAAGGGACATTCTTCCACGCTGACCTCCAATGTAAGGGACATTCTTCCCACTGACCACCAATGTAAGGGACATTCTTCCCACTGATCACCAATGTAAGGGACATTCTTCCCACTGACCCCCAATGTAAGGGACATTCTTCCCACTGATCACCAATGTAAGGGACATTCTTCCCACTGACCTCCAATGTAAGGGACATTCTTCCCACTGACCCCCAATGTAGGGTTCTTCCCACTGACCTCCAATGTAAGGGACATTCTTCCACTGATCACCAATGTAAGGGACATTCTTCCCACTGACCCCCAATGTAAGGGACATTCTTCCCACTGATCACCAATGTAAGGAGCATTCTTCCCACTAAGGGACCACCAATGTAAGGGACATTCTTCCACTGACCCCCAATGTAAGGAGCATTCTTCCCCTGACCACCAATGTAAGGGACATTCTTCCCACTGACCTCCAATGTAAGGGACATTCTTCCCACTGATCACCAATGTAAAAGATCATTCTTCCCACTGACCCCCAATGTGAGGGACATTCTTCCCACTGACCCCCAATGTAAGGGACATTCTTCTTCCCGCTGACCCCCAATGTAAGGGACATTCTTCCCGCTGACCCCAATGTAAGGGACATTCTTCCCGCTGACCCCAATGTGACATTCTTCCCACTGACCACCAATGTAAGGGACATTCTTCCCACCAATGTGACACCACCAATGTAAGGGACACATTCTTCCCGCTGACCACCAATGTAAGGGACATTCTTCCCGCTGACCACCAATGTAAGGGACATTCTTAAACTGACCCCAATGTAAGGGACATTCTTCCTGACCACCAATGTAAGGGACATTCTTCCCGCTGACCACCAATGTAAGGGACATTCTTCCCGCTGACCACCAATGTAAGGGACATTCTTCCCGCTGACCACCAATGTAAGGGACATTCTTCCCACTGACCACCAATGTAAGGACATTCTTCCCGCTGACCACCAATGTAAGGGACATTCTTCCCGCTGACCACCAATGTAAGGGACATTCATTCTTCCCGCTGACCACCAATGTAAGGGACATTCTTCCCGCTGACCACCAATGTAAGGGGCATTCTTCCCGCTGACCCCAATGTAAGGGACATTCTTCCCGCTGACCACCAATGTAAGGGACATTCTTCCCGCTGACCACCAATGTAAGGGACATTCTTCCCTGACCACCAATGTAAGGGGCATTCTTCCCACTGATGTAAGGGCAACTGACCACCAATGTAAGGACATTCTTCCCACTGACCACCAATGTAGGGACATTCTTCCCGCTGACCACCAATGTAAGGGACATTCTTCCCGCTGACCACCAATGTAAGGGACATTCTTCCCGCTGACCTCCAATGTAAGGGACATTCTTCCCGCTGACCACCAATGTAAGGGACATTCTTCCCGCTGACCACCAATGTAAGGGACATTCTTCCCGCTGACCACCAATGTAAGGGACATTCTTCCCGCTGACCACCAATGTAAGGGACATTCTTCCCTGCTGACCCCCAATGTAAGGGACATTCTTCCCGCTGACCCCCAATGTAAGGGACATTCTTCCCACTGACCCCCAATGTAAGGGACATTCTTCCCGCTGACCCCCAATGTAAGGGACATTCTTCCCGCTGACCACCAATGTAAGGGACATTCTTCCCACTGACCACCAATGTAAGGGGCATTCTTCGACCACCAATTGATAAACTGACCCCCAATGTAAGGGACATTCTTCCCACTGACCACCAATGTAAGGGACATTCTTCCCACTGACCACCAATGTAAGGGACATTCTTCCCACTGACCACCAATGTAAGGGACATTCTCCCACTGACCACCAATGTAAGGGACATTCTTCCCACTGACCACCAATGTAAGGGACATTCTTCCCACTGACCACCAATGTAAGGGACATTCTTCCCACTGACCTCCAATGTAAGGGACATTCTTCCCACGACCCCCAATGTGACATTCTTCCCACTGACCCCCAATGTAAGGGACATTCTTCCCACTGACCACCAATGTAAGGGGCATTCTTCCCACTGACCACCAATGTAAGGGACATTCTTCCCACTGACCCCCAATGTAAGGGACATTCTTCCCACTGACCACCAATGTAAGGGCATTCTTCGTGTGATACAACTGACCACCAATGTAAGGGACATTCTTCCCCACTGACCACCAATGTAAGGGACATTCTTCCCACTGACCACCAATGTAAGGGACATTCTTCCCACTGACCACCAATGTAAGGGACATTCTTCCCACTGACCACCAATGTAAGGGCATTCTTCGTTGATAAAACTGACCACCAATGTAAGGGACATTCTTCCCACTGACCACCAATGTAAGGGACATTCTTCCCACTGACCACCAATGTAAGGGACATTCTTCCCACTGACCACCAATGTAAGGGGCATTCTTCCCACCGACCACCAATGTAAGGGGCATTCTTCCCACCGACCCCCAATGTAAGGGACATTCTTCCCACCGACCCCCAATGTAAGGGACATTCTTCCCACCGACCCCCAATGTAAGGGACATTCATTTTCCCACCGACCCCCAATGTAAGGGACATTCTTCCCACCGACCCCCAATGTAAGGGGCATTCTTCCCACCGACCTCCAATGTAAGGGGCATTCTTCCCACCCGACCACCAATGTAAGGGGCATTCTTCCCACCGACCCCAATGTAAGGGACATTCTTCCCACCGACCCCCAATGTAAGGGACATTCTTCCCACCGACCCCCAATGTAAGGGACATTCTTCCCACCGACCACCAATGTAAGGGACATTCTTCCCACCGACCACCAATGTAAGGGACATTCTTCCCACCGACCCCCAATGTAAGGGGCATTCTTCCCACCACCGACCACCAATGTAAGGGACATTACGTTATCAGGGGTTCCCTGAGACCTTAAAGTTATTTCCAGAGTTTCTCTAAGGTACAGAGGTTGAGAAAGGCTGATATATATTTTGAATCTCAAGCCCTGATGGACGGGACTGTTTTGGACCCCCAGAACATGTTGCCTTCTCTTTGGATTGTCCCCCTGACTTTTATTGGAATAAAGTGGTACCTGGACCTTTCAGTAGCCGTGTGACACTTCAATTTACATTGTTCCATTACAAGCCAAGGAGACCGCGGAGATCCTCGGGGGTGTGGAGTCCTCCTGCCCAGGTACCAGGTCACCTACATCAACTTCAAAGTGGATCTTCACCCTTTAAAATGGCATGGCTCCTCTCCATCCCAACCCCCTCCACTGTACATGTATCATTTTTTTTTTTTTTTAATTAGTTTCACTCCGCCCCCCCAATCCTCCATCATTCACCTAGGCCAGGGGTCTCCAAACCATGCTGTTGAAGTACTACAAGTCCCATCATGCCTCTGTGAGTCTTGCCTGTTTCTGTCAGAGTCTTGCAAGGGATTTGCACCTGGAAGGTCATAATTTGGAGACCCCTGACCTAGTCATATGACGTCGGCGCCCCTGGAGCCTCCTGGTATATGTGTCTTGTATATCCCAGGAGGCCCCATGGACATCACCCCATTCACTAACAGAGGAGGGGGCGGGTCTGCTGACGCATCATCAGAAGGCTGCGACGTCTCTTCCGGGTTATGGCGCAGCTTTCCGATAATGCGTCACCAGGCCTGCCCCCTCCTCTGTTAGTGAATGGGGTGATGTACGGGGCAAGGGAAAAAAAAAAAATGGAGGGGGGGGGGCCAGGTAATTCGTCTTTACAATAGCAAAACCAATAAGATAACTTTAGGGGTCCAGCACCATTTTTTCAATATGGGGAGCGTCAAAGTAGACCAAGCCTGACCGAGCAGATGTGGACCCCCAGGGGGTAAGTGAAATTGGAAAATTCCTTTAACCCAATATAGATTTACATATATGTCTTCAGAACCTTTTGGGGGGGGGGGGGGGGGGGGGGGGGGGGGGGGGGGGGGGGGGGGGGGGAAGAGTTCATTCATTTGCTGTTGCATTTGGCAGTTTTATTATACAGTACAGGATACAACATATACAGATCAATATCATACACTTTATACAAATGAGCCTTCAGCACACAGAGCCAGTGTTTGTACAAATCATATCTCATCAACAGCATTTCAGTTCTATATTTTTTTGAAAGAGTAAAATTTGCATTGCCATGCATCCAGCTAATTTGTTGTGATCAATCTGGATTAAAAAAAAAAATAATGTTCATTAGGCTATAATACCTATGGAATTATTATTATTATTTTTTTTTTATGGATAGTAGTAATATGCAGCATATGGCCACTCAATGGCGCTGAGGAGCAAAGTAAATACATTTGTAACAAGAGATGCAAAGGAACAGTTCTGGAGAACACTAGAGGGAATTAGTGACCAATCGTTGCATTTATTGGTCGATTTCCTGTCGTTTCTCTAGAACTGTTGTGTTATATCCCTTGGTAAAAAAAGACACATTTGTTTCCTATGCTCATCGGGTCCATCTAGTGGCCATAATGTGGTATTTTACTACTGCCCAAAGGGACATGCATTCAGAAAGTAGCCCAAAGAACATTTATTTTGCCTGAATGTACTTGCAAATTCGCTGGACAACTGGCTGTGCAATGTTTTTTTATAAATAGACCCCTAAGTTTATTTACACCCCTCCATAGACCTCCTGAGTTAAATTACCCACTCCAGTTTCCAGATGCTCAGAAGATGACCACGTCTAAGGGCTCACTGTGCAGGCATCGGGTAGTTAGGTCAAGGGGGCTGGGAAGGGCAGGTAGGTGTACAGCGTGCAGACATTGGGTTGTTAGGTCAGGAGGGCAGGTAGGTGTACAGCGTGCAGACATTGGGTTGTTAGGTCAGGAGGGCTGGGAAGGGCAGGTAGGTGTACAGCGTGCAGACATTGAGTAGTTAGGTCAGGAGGGCTGAGAAGGGCAGGTAAGTGTACACTGGGTAGTTAGGTCAGATGGGTTGGGAAGGGCGGGTAGGTGTACACTGTGCAGGCACTGGGTAGTTAGGTCATGAGGGCGGGTAAGTGTACACTGGGTAGTTAGGTCAGATGGGTTGGGAAGGGCGGGTAAGTGTACACTGTGCAGGCATTGGGTAGTTAGGTCAGATGGATTGGGAAGGGCAGGTAAGTGTATACTGGGTAGTTAGGTCAGATGGGTTGGGAAGGGCAGGTAAGTGTATACTGGGTAGTTAGGTCAGATGGGTTGGGAAGGGCAGGTAAGTGTACACTTGGTAGTTAGGTTAGATGGGTTGGGAAGGGCAGGTAAGTGTACACTGGGTAGTTGGGTCAGATAGGTTGGGAAGGGCAGGTAAGTGTACACTGGATAGTTAGGTCAGATGGGTTGGGAAGGGCAGGTAAGTGTACACTGGATAGTAGTTAGGTCAGATGGGTTGGGAAGGGCAGGTAAGTGTACACTGGATAGTTAGGTCAGATGGGTTGGGAAGGGCGGGTAAGTGTACACTGGATAGTTAGGTCAGATGGGTTGGGAAGGGCGGGTAAGTGTACACTGTGCAGGCATTGGGTAGTTAGGTCATGAGGGCGGGTAAGTGTACACTGGGTAGTTAGGTCAGATGGGTTGGGAAGGGCGGGTAAGTGTACACTGTGCAGGCATTGGGTAGTTAGGTCATGAGGGCGGGTAAGTGTACACTGGGTAGTTAGGTCAGATGGGTTGGGAAGGGCGGGTAAGTGTACACTGTGCAGGCATTGGGTAGTTAGGTCAGAGGTGGATTGGGAAGGGCAGGTAAGTGTACACTGGGTAGTTAGGTCAGATGGATTGGGAAGGGCAGGTAAGTGTACACTGGGTAGTTAGGTCAGATGGGTTGGGAAGGGCAGGTAAGTGTACACTGGGTAGTTAGGTCGGATGGGTTGGGAAGGGCAGGTAAGTGTACACTGGGTAGTTAGGTCGGATGGGTTGGGAAGGGCAGGTAAGTGTACACTGGGTAGTTAGGTCGGATGGGTTGGGAAGGGCAGGTAAGTGTACACTGGGTAGTTAGGTCGGATGGGTTGGGAAGGGCAGGTAAGTGTACACTGGGTAGTTAGGTCGGATGGGTTGGGAAGGGCAGGTAAGTGTACACTGGGTAGTTAGGTTAGATGGGTTGGGAAGGGCAGGTAAGTGTACACTGGGTAGTTGGGTCAGATGGGTTGGGAAGGGCAGGTAAGTGTACACTGGGTAGTTGGGTCAGATGGGTTGGGAAGGGCAGGTAAGTGTACACTGTGCAGGCATTGGGTAGTTAGGTCAGATGGGTTGGGAAGGGCGGGTAGGTGTACACTGTGCAGGCATTGGGTAGGTAGGTCAGATGGGTTGGGAAGGGCATGTAAGTGTACACTGTGCAGGCATTGGGTAGGTAGGTCAGATGGGTTGGGAAGGGCGGGTAGGTGTACACTGTGCAGGCATTGGGTAGGTAGGTCAGATGGGTTGGGAAGGGCATGTAATTGTACACTGTGCAGGCATTGGGTAGGTAGGTCAGACGGGTTGGGAAGGGCGGGTAAGTACATTTATATGCTGAATTTCTCTGCTCAGTCAGTAGTATCTCCCACCTCTTCGCCCGATGTCACAGTTGGTGTTTCAGCAGATAAGTGTACAGTTTATTCATAAAAACTAGGTGTGTGTCCCACAGCAGCCAATCAGATTCCAGTTGTCATTTTTTTAGTGCAGGTTAGAGATAATAACTGGCTGATCGGTCCAGGAAACATCAGAGGAATAGGACTTGCAGCAACTATGAGGAGAACAAGAGTCCAACATGGCTACCCTCATCTCCGAAAAAGTTGCCAAGTAAGTCCATAAAAAAAAAAAGCAAGCTGTAATGTTTTTGTATATACCTTCCTTATTAATAATTCATCATCGAAAAAATATTGTTACTTTTTATTCAAATTAAAAAATATTTCTTACAAATATATTCATATCTTCCACTTGCAGCCAGCAGGTGCTGCACTGGAGACAGTTGTCTACCCCTTAGTATTTAAGAGGTGACACACCTCCTCCATCTCACATGGAAAATTAGTGAGCGAGTCAAAGTGAGTGGCCACTGCTGCGCTTTCTTTTTTCCCAGAATGATCTGCGCGCTGTAACATGGAAGGATCCCGTAGTAAGAACGCGCGCCCGGTGCGCTCCCGGCACATTT